CGCCATGTGTACTTTCTCACCTTTCTTCTTTGCCTCAGCGACGACGTCGTCATATTCACGCGTAGTTGAGAAGTCAAACACCTCTTGGTCCCACAATCCCTTCCATTCTTTCATGAAAGCTTCCATGGCCTTGGGATTGTTGATCATCTCCTTGCGTGTGACGGGTCGAGTGACCATGGCATTGAAGCACGATCCTCCTGCATGATTCTTTTCCCGATGTACGTTTCTGTGAGAAGTCGTACACGGCATAGAAGGAATCCAGTTATCATCCATGACCATATGCGCCGGAACGGCCGGCACAACGTCCGCCAAGAATTGTTCTTGTGTATATTGATCCACATAGGACTGTGCCCAGGACCAACCATCGTCGTCATCAATGGACACGTTGAGTTGCAGATCGATTTCTTCACATGGAACAATCTTGGGAAAGATCATGTTGTCCAAAATCTTGGTGACTTGTAAAATCCACTCGTGGATGGGTCCCCAACCCTTGGGTGTGGACGACCTCCCCGCCCGCACTGTTCACGCTGACCGCCCCGCCCTAGCCCCAAGCCTAATGCCGGTTCATGGGCCCCTCGAGGCCCCTTTATGATGCCCTCATGAGCATTCTCGAACGGCGAGCCCAGCATACAAGCCAACGAGACAACAGTGCTGTATTTTCCGGTCGCAGCAGCAGATCCATGCGGATTCATGCTAGTTCGTGATGCTTCAAGTGCTTCATGCAAACATCACCAAACGAAGTCACTGCAATGCTTTGCCATCGTCGTATCAGGTTCATAAGATGCTGGTGCACCATGCATCGCGAAGATACAGAATAGATTATTGCAGCGCAATACGGCAATATGTTCAATATTATATTGTGGTTGCACTGCTAAAACTGCATAGCTATCGTAAAGATCACATGTCGGTGTCACCGTGTGTCAGTTTGCACTGACACTGCACTGAGAGATTCTTTGAGTTGCACAGCATGAAGCAATGAAGCGGCATGCCAACTCGTGGTGGGTAGAAATATGCAATGGCCTAGTGGAGTTTGCGAAGGATGCAACAATGCAACACTCGGCATTACCAGCACTCAGTGCAACTACTGTCTGTGACACAGGGTGAAACGGTGAGACACGCCGCCACGATGAGGTTCAGACCTGAGCGGAATCGAATCACACAAGTTCTTCTGTTGCAAAGTGGACATGCATGGACTTCACAGCATGCACATGCAGTCACATGCAGCATGACAAGACTAGATTTTTTGACTGTCGTTGTTCTGTGCTGTCGCGTCGCCGTGTGCCGTGTGGTGCAGTGGCATCTGGACAAGCGGACCCCATCAAATCCGACATACCGCAACACCGACACGACAACTCAGGCTCAGAGAAAGAGCAGGGCAGCAGGCAAGCAAGTGAAAAGGTAATTACGGTAATTACGGAAACTCAAACAGCTGGCTGTCGCCTTCGGCAACAAAGCTGGTTCCCTATTCTCTTATTCTTGTGGACTCGTGGCTGCGATTTCATCGCAGCAGGAACTTGCAATGCTTCGGAGCATTCAAGGTCATCAGCAAGGCGCCCAGGCCATCGTCCTCGTCATGGCCCTCGGCTTCTGTCTTTACGACGCCGGTCATGGTCTTGAACGCTTGCCCACCCAAGACCTGCGCAGACTTTGTCTTGAATTTGCCGGCCGTTGATCGCTGTGGGCCACTTTTCTCGTGCGAGAAGCTTGTGCGGGAGCACAAGTGCTCAGACACGGTGGAAGTACCTGTCTCCTTCGCCGCCACGAGCTTCTTCACAGCCTATGAACAGATAGGTTAAGATGAGATAACATAAGATAAGATGTGACATAAAAGTGTTAAACCCAGGTGAAGCTGTATGAAAATACACTACAATCTACTGTATAGTATAAGAGTCGACATCTGATCTGACGGAGATGATGTGATATGGTGTGGTTTGATATGTTATATGATATTATCATATGATATGATATGGTAACGGCGGCATGATGATTGCGATATCTGGCATGACGATATCATCGTTATGCTGAAATCATGTGTGCTGTATGCAGGCAATGTGCGAGCGTGCCGGGGCAGCCGTGGGTCAGACTCATGACTCATTCACGACTTGTGCTTGTGACTGCTCATTCGTGATAACAACAACAACAACAACAACAACAACAACAACAACAACAACAACAACAACAATTATGACTATGACTGAATACCGGAATACCTATGAATCGGGTTCTATGATTCTATGACTGTATTTCTATGACACTGACTCCACAACACAACTCACAGACTATGGCTTTTACCTTCATTGAAGTACATTCCACTGCACACAATCACATTCGACTCACATTCGATCACACAAACGTCATACTTAGTCATATAATATACTCTGGCGCCACTCTATCACCGTATTCAACTTGAAATATATGTTAAATGGAAGCTACGGCAACAGCTGCGGCAACAACAGCGGTGCAGCGGGAAGTCAACCTTCTATATAAACCCAGCTGATGCAAACTGATGCATGCACCGTATAGTGAAACTGCAATTGGAACGCCATTGTGTGAAGCATGTATTTCGGTATATTTTCTAAACTTCTAAAGCTTTTCATTCATTGCATCATATCATGAATCATAGGACCATAGGACATACGACCTCTGGGCGGAAGCGGAGTGCTGGCATCTGCAGGTGGACTGTGACTTTGTTCCCAGACCTGAGATTCAAGATAACATCAAAGCATGCATCATGCAACCAATACGTAACAAATGCTAGTGCAACCGAGTCGCGCGTCGGAGAAGTCACGCACCATGTCTTCGATCTGGGAGGCGAACATTGCCTTCTTTTCTTCGAAACCGGCCTTGATCATTTATACTGCGCATGGAACCAGGCTCGTGGGCTTGCTGAACCCTTCGTAATGCAGAAAGTAGTCCACCGGGACGGCGTTGTTGCCAAAGTTGCAACGTGCCACCTACATGGCCGAATTGTCGGCATCACTACAGGAAGACTAAGTAAAGCACATGCAACGCAGACTCCGTGAGCACAAGTGCATGCTGCAGGCAGTGATGGATGCAACCTGCTCTACTTCACAGCTGCCAAACGGACAGACTCAACTCAACTAAGCAAGAAGATGCCACGCATGCGTGAGCATCATATCAAAATATCAATATAGGTCATTAGACTCATTAGACATTAGAGTCATGAGTCATTAGTCATTAGATCATATCATATGAGAAAATCACAGCAGTTACAGAATATCATGTATTCAATATTCAATATAAATACCATACATGCTGACATAAGCTGTATCATGCCGAGCGAAGCTGTCATACAGTCATTCAGGAAGCACATCGACTCACATCGAGCAACCTTCAACGACTTGCTTCCTGGTTCCGTCGACACCGTGCCGAAACCCCACAACGTAGTACTCTCCATGGATGCGTTCACGACCGCTTCCGGCATCAGCGTGTTCCCCTTCCCATCAACAACCAGTGCCGAAAGAAGCTCTGAACTGGAATTTTGCCTGAGTTGCAAAGTACCATTGCTTGCTCACAACATTACATGCAAAATCATATACTCAATGTTATCTGATGCTGCAAGCACTCCCTATTCGTACGTAATTGCGGGATTGGACCAGGCGTGGTGTTGCTCTGAGGTAGCTGCTTAGGAGTTCACAGACACAGGACACACGCTTCCACAAGTATGGACGACAAGTGACGACAAGAATACAATGCAGACACGGCATGTACCACATGTCACGTGCATCAGTGCAGCCGATGTTACTTTGCCCAAGACATGATGAACAGCTCGATTTGGGAGCGGATGGCCACAACGTCCCGCACATCAACATCATGAGCCTTGATGTCCGGCAAATCGTGCATGAGGTAAATCTCATTGAAGGTCGGCATGAGGCACTGTTCTGCATGGGGTTTCCCTGCAACGGCGCTCGAGGCAGCATCAGCATCACCTTTGCTTGCCTGGGGTTCCGTCGATTCTGTCGGCTCGGACTTCACTTTGGCTGTCGTCGGCGATTGAGGATCACCACGAACAAACGGCAAGCTTGCACCTCTGGCATTCTTGTTCTTGGGACAAACTGATTTCACGGATGGCAGCCACTTGATCAAGTTGGCCTCAACGATCTGGTCCATCTTACTGGTGGCATCATCCTCATCCTTTTTGTCCTTGTCCTGCTCGGACTCACAATCTACTGCACCAAAAACTGGCTTCATGCCACGTTGCACTGCAACCGTCAGTATCTTAGCCCACATCTGGGGCCACTCAACTGTTGCAGACGGCCCGTGACTGAATGCAAACTGGGCTTCGATTCTCATGATGTACTTCGTGACCTGTGCCTGCATCGTCTCAGGTTCCGCTGTGTCTGTTGCCGCCGCCTGCGTTGGCTTGCTGCTTCCCATGGCTTGGCATGCATCTGCGAGGTGCTTGACGATGGTGTGCAAGAGCTTTGTGGCACCTGGCTTCATGTCTTCGAACAACACGAAAGATGGATCGACTGTCCGGGGGTTCGTGATGGCCAAGTGTAGGAGGTGAAGCAAGTAAGCAGGCCTACAAAGAAGCAGCATGGAGACGATTTCGTCTCGAACGGCAAACTGGGGATCTCCGGTGAACCCTTGGCCCACGACGTGCAGCATGAACTTGGCCTCCCTGCCCATGTTTTTGATCATCTCCTGATACCAAGCACCACCAAACACCCTCTACAACTCTACAACAGTCATGGAGTCATGCTGTGAGGTGAATGATGCTGCAATGATGCAGTGATGCAGTGAGGCAGTCATGCACTCATGCACTGTCATGCACCCGTGCACTGCACAAATCAGTAAGATGTAGATGTAGATATAGATATATGTATGTATTATGTATGATATAGAATATTGAATATCGCAACCATTGCAAACATATATCATATATGTAAGTAATAACATCAATATGTAATTGTTGCAGCCAACAAGGGGCCAACAAGTAAGCATGGGCAAACACAGTGGGCAAACACAGTAAGCAGCTAGCTGACCATGCGGCCGGCAACGCAGTCAGTAGGCAGGTAAACCTCAGGTAAACACATCTCACGATCCTGCTGCCCATCTGGAGTTGCCGCTGACAACAGGCAGCTGCTCCCCAAGAGTGGTAGAACCCAGGGGATCAAATCAACCTGTTCGATCATCATTGCGAGTCCAGCAACGATGTCCGGGATGGTGAACGTGGAATCGTGGAAGTCGCAGTCGTTGTCTTGGACATCCCACCCATCCGTCGGCGATCGGCATGTGCACAGCGTGTTTCGAAAAGACGAGCATAGCTGTCCGTACACAGGATGCTTGTTCGGATTCCTGGCAATGTTCTCGTTGAAGAACTTCTCAGCCGTGTACATCGTGTCTTTGTCGGCCAGAACCGTCTTGGCAACTGCAAGTGGAGTCGAGCCTGTGTCTAGGGCACTGAGAAATCGTTGGGTAGCTGCCTCCTCGGCCATCTCCACTTCCTGCGCGAGCCTGTCAACAATGTCCTCGACTGATGTTGTCGCCGAAGACGCTGCCGCCGGTGCTGACAACGATCCGCTGGATGTCTTCCTGCACTTTGTCATCAGCGCTTGCAGTGCCGGCCGAGCCTCTTTGCGATAAGGACAAGGAAGGGCTCCGGCTCTGTATCAACCAATCACTAACTGCACTGGACGACTCAAGGAACGACTACTATGAACAGAGCAAAACGCATGCGAACTACAGACGTCAGAGCTTTGATCGTCTGCCGTGGCCTTGCTCCAGCAGTTGAGCGTCTTCTTGTTCAAGGAAATGCTTCCGGTGCAAGCGAGCTCCAACCCATAACCCAGCATGGTGCTGAACAATCTGGCTTCCGTCGACTCGAAATCACCCTGCTTGGGAACTGGAACCTTGCAAGCACTTACGGCTGACAACAGGTCATCAAACCACAAACGAGGTCTGAAGCCCTCGTGCATTTCCATCAGCACGTCACCTTGCAACGTCTCCAAGGTTTCACCGTCCTGCAACACACCCTGCTTCGCAGCTTTGGCTTTGCCAGCAGCCTTTGCTTTGCCCTTGGCTTTTGCTTTAGCCTTGGGCGCTCTCTTGGGTGCCGTTGCACTGTCCTCCAGCTCTGGAGCTCTGGGGCGTTTTTTGCCAGAGGCACTTGCTGCAACAGCTGCGGCTTTGCAACTCGCCTTCACAAGCTTCTCGATGAAGACAGCTCCCTCCACTGGACATGCCAGACGCTCCATCGCCTGAATCAAAGCTTGCGAATTTGTCCCGCCCTTGAACACGAAAGGCAACAAGCGACTCTTGCTATCCGTCACCGAAGAAGGCAGCAAAGGAACCTGAAGCCAGAGCACATCAGTTCATGCAGCTCGTAAAAGCAACGTCTCGACACCGCATGCAAGGTTCTAAGCACGTTTAAACTCTGATCTACATTCTTCGGATGGTCCAATGATGTAGGCCGCTCGCAGTTTTGTAGTTATTCGTGAACATATAAGAAAGCAATAAATAATTTCACATGAGCATGGCATGGAACTATTATCCATACCTTTACAATAGTTTATATGATATGTGCGGAACATGCAGATGCACTGGTCAAACTCAAACACAGCACATACACACAGATACACATATATGTGTGTATGCATATGATGCAATGCATATGTGTATATAATGTAACTATACATGATGTATAGTTACATCATATATGCATCATATGCATACACTATAATACTATACACTATACATGTATATATATATAATATATGCGTATATATCTGTGTCTATGTATGTGTGTGTATGTGTGTATGTATGTATGTATGCATGTATGTGTGTATAAGTGCATACGTATGTATATGTAGTGTATATGCATGCTGTATACTGTATACTGAGTGCTCCTTCCCTTGCTTGTCGGTTGAACATGACGGTCTAGTCGTGTTCGCATCGGGTCAACTGAAATGAAACGAACTACTAAGCAACATGATGTTACAATGTTACAATGTTACAAGCAATCGAAGGCACGCACATCTTGAAAAGCTCCATCAAGGATATCGCAAGCAGTGACTCATGCTGACCTTTGAAGCTGCCCTCTAGGAAGGTTGTCAGCTGGTTGAGGTTTAGCAGCGTGCGTTCGTGACCTGACTGCAGGTCCGAGTGGAGGAAGTCTGTCGAAGCCGAGAAGAAATCCTCGAAAAACTTCAGCATCCCCCAGTTGACCAGTTTTTTGCGCAGGGCACGCGCCGCTTTGAAGGAATTCGAGGTGTACTTTTCCTTGAACTCCGATTGCTCCAACCACTTCGTGAACTCGTCGTGATACGAACTCACGTTGCGGGATGTGATTTTCATCCTATCGGCGTAGGCTCGCCACGCCTGGCGATTCACTGACTTAAATACCTGCTTGGGGTAAGCTTCTAATGGAGCGGATTGTTACTTTCTGTTTCCCTTTTTTTGCTTGGTCCCACTGCCACCTCATCCACCTGAGCGGCTCCTGAGATCAGCTCAATGAATGAAATGCTTCCACCTCCATGGAACTTGTTGTTCAGGTCCCGCAGGAATCTCAGAATCAAGATCGCACTAAGCGCGAGAGTACCCAAGACTCAGCTATTATATGCGGCTGCCTACTATGACAGCTCCCCTTTGATCTAGCATGAGCAACGGTAGCCCAGAAGGAATGCACAATACACTCTAGTTTAGTGAAGCTGGGCAACGTGAGGACGTCGATCGGTGTCCGAGATGCCAGCACGCGACAGGAGCGCAACCCAGCTTGCCGTGTGGCTTCTACTTGGGCATTCTGAGGCTGCTCACGACAAGCGTCGTAAAATGCCTCGGACCTGAAGCGAACCACACAATGTGAATATTAATGAGTTAATGAACTGTGAAGTTGTGAAACGTTGCATTGATCACGCAGTCTATATGCAAATAACATTCGCATTCACATATAAGACAAAGCAGCATGGATATCAATATCATAATATCATATAATAAGCACAAATCACAAGTATAAACACAGGTTATTATGTTACATGCATTGCATGCATTCTTAATTCTTACATATATATAATACATATATAGATAATATTGTTATAAGTTAAGGTATTTAGATACGGTTGACTCATTGACTGTAATTGATGTATCAATATCAGTGAAGGTGTACTGCTGTGATGGCCCTCTCACTGCATGACTCGTGTCTGCCAACGACTCTCAAATTCTCAAAGCCAGGCAAGCAGCAGGGTTCCGTAAGTAATGGCCAGGTACGGAGCACCTGGTCTTTCTGGCCTCAATGTGATTCAGGGTTTCTCGAGTTCAACTGACAACTGCCCTCACTTGCGTGCAAAGTGGTTACACGGCCTCGGTTCACGTTCGCACGACTCATGCGAAATCACCGGAAGATTCCGGAGGATGCCACATTACTGGCTGCTATTAGGATCTATAAACATGCTTAACATGCTGACTCGACGCTGCATACCAATAAACTGCATGCATACAGCCAGGCAGCTGCACTAACCAGGCCTCTCCTCGACATCCTTCGAGGATTCCGTGGGTCAAGATCCCCTTCTTGTAGCGCTGCTTTAAGCTCACTTGGCGTCGGTCATTGATCGGGTGCCTGATTATATTGGGGGTCGTGCCGTCGGCCAGGAACCAGTCCACCGTCATGAGGCCATGGTTACACTCAGGGACCTTAGCTGGCTAACTAACATCACATCCTACGCAGCGGTCGCTGCCAAGCCTGTCAACCCTTCAGAGCTACTGCTGCTCCATGCGAAACCCCAAGTCAAGGCGCTTGATATGTCTGGAAAAGCATATTCTGGAGGTCTCGACCGCTAGCATCGCCAAATCGCTCTGTCAAGCTCCTGTTTCCCCAAATAGCTTCCGAAGCTGCGAGCAACGATGCCGACCCTTTGGCATCTGACTCACCAGACTTCCGTGACCTGACACACCAGACATAGGCGAGGAGAGCCATTTTTGGGAACATCATCCAAATGATACCATATGTCACATGTGCATGCATTGTCACTGAGAATCACTGCGCATGCGCACGTCATGCAGTGCCCTGTGTTGCAAGTACTCATCCCAGGCAAACGACGGCAAACGATATAGAAACTGATATCATATGCAAACACAAAGCACCAATTGCACCAATGCAATCATATGATGCGATGTGACAATTCTCAGTCGAGTCAAGCCTGGTAAAAGTTTTTCCATGTAATACCGAGCGACACACCAGCCGCACTCTGCGAGCTTGGGCCACTAGTGTTAGCTGGCTGTTGCGAAGCCATGCACACAAACGGGCGGCAAAGGTGCAGGGAAAGAACGTCGCTGTTCCGTACACTGAAGCGCAAATATGCTGCAAATGATTTGGGAATCATGCAGTTGCAAGCAGCGTGAAACCGTGAAACCCATGCAACCAGCACTATGCCGTGCGAGCAGTCCTGACATGCAGCATATGGACTGGATAACACTTCTACCACAAGGTTATTTCTTTCACTTGACCACTGACATTGAACCTTCTTGCACAGAATTTGTAGATGCCTCCGGCAGCATGTTGCAGCTGCAGAAACTGGGCGGATGGCTTGCCCACTCTCCCCACTCCCCAGAACCTTCATCGCAGGTGAAACTTGTGAAACTTTCATTCGACTTGCTTTCTTTAAAAACAAGTCACAATCACAGAAACTCGCTCATCAAACTGTGTGCAAGATCTGCCATCACAGGTGACATCCCCTCTGGCCCACGTTGTGTCACTTGGGTGACGGCGTACAGCAAACACAGTCCTGCTGTCATGGAATGCATGCCGTTACCAGCCTGGCCCACGTGAGAGCTTCTTGCAAACGGAATATGTTCTCTGATATTCTCCGGCTGTGAGAAAGAACACATGGAAACACCCTGCGTTAACATGTCGGCATACACAGGCATCCCCTGCGCCATCAGAGCTTCCTTTGCGAGCAGGAACCGACCGTGAAAGTCGGACCTCAACTTCAACTCATCTGATTGCACTGAAACGAATACAAGTACTTACAATGACATGAAACAGTACAATGCAGCACTGTATAATAACCGATAAACCAATACATGACCACATAGGAACATATATTGATAGCTGATAGCTGCACACCAAACGGACTGGATGCTTTCATGCAAACATGCAATCACTGCAATCATGCTGCGTCGGATTACAGCTGACAGTTACCTAAGGTTGCCCAGCTTGCCTCTTGTTAAGCATTTCTAAAGGTTATTCGGAGCTATTGCAGCTAAGGTTTAAGGCAGCTGAGTTACCACAGGATTCCACCATTGCGGATCAGCGTCTGCAATTGCTCCGGGCTGCTCTTGTTGGCAAAAGACTCGGGATTCTGATTGAGTGAGTATGCCATGCCAGGTGCCAAAACGCGGTAATCGACCAGGAAGCGTGTTTCGGCATCTGTCAAAGAACGAAAGAACTCATCTTTAACCGACTCGAAATCAGTGTGGTACGCCTGCAAAAATTCAGCCAGCGACTGAAACTTACAGCACCCACTTGTTGTCTTGGCTTTAGACTCCGGACGTGAGCACGCCCACAGCAGCTCCTGGTACATGTCCTCCGGTTTGCCTGCAAAGTACACATCCCATGCCGGTATGCCTGTCCGGGTGCACTCCTGCTTTGCCTGAGCGAACATGGAAGTGAAAAGGTTCATCGGTGACGAAAACGCTCCGGTTTTGTACCGATGCCGCAAGAGAACCCATTTGCGTTCCCTGACCACAGGAAATCCGAAGTGGCATGGGTTGAGGATGCACTCTTGCACAAAGTACACTGCACCGAGTACTTGCTGTAGCAACCTGGTCGGGAACGATGACACGTTTTCCTGTAAGATCATTGGCTCCTGCAAACGTAAGCGCATGCTGGACCAGCAAAGAAAGAACATATATGTCTTGCCATCCTCCTTGGACATGGTGCCACGCTGGCTATAATCTGTGCAAGGAGTCCCAGCTATGTGGAAGTCGGCCGGTTTTGCCTGGTTTCGGAATTTGTGCACACGCTGCGCTGCGCTGCTACGCTACTCCAATCTATCTGAGGACACTGTCTATACAAAAGATACAGCTACAAAATGCAATATGGTTGCTCAAGTATGAACTTTGACCGTATAACGGCAGAAATTACAGACATGCATATCGTCGTGAGTCATGAGCGTCATGAACTATGAACACTAAGAATATTTTATGACTCGAGTGGCATGGCATTCAGCTGTCATATAGCACGGTTCCTGCATGGCTCATGACGGATGACATTTCAAGCTAATGTTCCCAAAACCGCACGAACGACGAACGCTTGAACTTGAACTCGCTAGCAGCATGCTTTGCCCACACAGCTTGTAAGGCTTAGGCTTAAGGTTTAGGGGTTTAGGCGGACAAACAGCGCAGAGCATGCGGCCTCGCACTCGCAGCCATGCTTCAAGCAGTATGCCGTGGTGCGTGTAGCTTTGCCCTTCTGGATCAATGGCAAGAGCACCTGGTCAACCAAGTTCTCTGTGAGAATGCCATCCAACTTCTCAGAGACCGCGGTGTTCCAAAAGTCGGAGATATCTGCGAAGACATGTTCAGCTGCATGTGGGTGAACTAGGAGCTCTTGTTGGGAATTGCCGTACCATTCGATTGCAAAGTAATTTCGAGGCTTCTCAATATCTTCCGGGCTGAGACCCAGCTCACATCCGACCGCATGCTGCAACATGAGGAATGCCGTGGCAGGTGTGTCTATTCCTGAAAATGCAGTGCTTATAGTTGTGGCCGCCAAGCGATTATGCAAACCAAGCAAAGCATCATCATCAACGGATTGGCTTTGGGGCCCGGTACTTCCCGCTACGTCATCAGGCTGTGTTGATCTGATCCGATCTGCAGCTTGCCTTGTCAATCGAAAGTTGTCACCTGCTTCTTTGCATTCCTTGACGTACTGGATATACTTCCGAATCACGCGGCGAGGCCATTGGAACAGATTCCACAAACCGCGCTCTCGCGCCACAGCTCTGTTCTCCTCATGCCTATCTAGGCCCACAGCAGCACCGCCTGGAGATGCTCCGTGACCCTCGCTGGTAACAGGCTCACTGGTGACGGTGACAGCCGCAGCGGTATCTAGGTCCACAGCAGCACCGCCTGGAGATGCTCCGTGACCCTCGCTGGTAACAGGCGCACTGGTGACGGTGACAGCCGCAGCGGTTGGAGACGCAGCGAGAGCTCTCTTTTGCCTAACGCGCCGCCGGGGTGCACCAGTGCTGGTGGGAGACTGCATGGACGGCGAAGACTGCTCCATATTTCTTGCTAAAGCTAAGTGTCTGTGTAACAGGATGACAAGATGCACTTGCGGATGCAATTCAAGTTCATGAAGTTCATGCCTTGCAGAATCTTCTACCGGAGACTGGCAGACTGGAACGGATATAGCTCACGGCTCACGGCAAACTGTGTTTCTATTTGCGGTGTGAGACATAGATTCATAGATAATGATTATAGAACTGTGCATGATATCTATTGTATGGCATTGCGGTGAAGACTGCCCTGGCATGAAGCAAACGTGATAATTCCACATGTGAGATCAGCCACAAAGCAACACTGCCAAGCAACACTTGGACAAATGACATCATTTCAAAATTTCAACACAAAGCTCAGCACGTTTATCCTTGTGATGCCCTGCACTGGGATTAGGCCCGGACCATCCGTAGCAGCAGCGTCGCTGGTGTGCAAGCACAGGCCTTGGCATGTCGAAACATCATGGCAGCATGGTTGGTGTCGTGTGTATAGAAAACACAATAGTTATACGAACCAAAAACATAAACATCTATTAGTCATTGTATTGTAATTATGTATTATATGTGATCTTATATATATATATATATATATTAATTATATCCTATATATGTTACGAATATAATATGTTATGTTGAAATATTATTTATGTAACTGTAAGCTGTATATGATACATATCATATACTCTTATATATAATACATATATATATATATATATATTATATATATAGAGGCTCGCATTGAATGTAATTAATTCTTCAATGGACAAGCAACGACCAAGTGGAACGCACAGGCAACAGTGCAAGCACTAATGTCACTGGCTGGTGACAGTGGAGGGCCAGGGCGCGGACAGCGGCTGTCCACGGGGCAGTGGCTGTCCACAGGCCATGGCGTGACAGTGCGGCGTGGACAGTGGCCGTCCACCCGGCCCCAGAGAGGCGTGGACAGTGGCCGTCCACAGGGCTGGGGCGTGGACAGTGGCCGTCCACAGGGCCAGGGGCGCGGACAGTGGCTGTCCACAGGGCCCTTGGAGGGTTGGGGCGCGGACAGTGGCTGTCCACAGGGTGCTGGGCCAGGCCAGCGGCGTGGACAGTGGCCGTCCACAGGGCCAGGGGCGCGGACAGTGGCTGTCTACAGGGGCCTTGGGGGGCTGGGGCGCGGACAGTGGCTGTCCACAGCGCCCTGGGCCAGGCCAAGGGGCGTGGACAGTGGCCGTCCACACTGCTGGGGCGCGGACAGCCGCTGTCCACAGGCCCCTGGGCCAGGCCAGGGGCGTGGACAGTGGCCGTCCACAGGGCTGGGGCGCGGACAGTGGCTGTCCACAGGGCCCTGCAGGCCAGGCCAGGCGCGCGGACAGTGCCCGTCCACAGGGCCAGGGGCGCGGACAGTGGCTGTCCACAGCGCTTGGAGGGTTGGGGCGCGGACAGTGGCTGTCCACAGGGGTGTGGGCCAACCAGTGCGCGGACAGTGCCCGTCCAGGGGCGCGGACAGTGGCTGTCCACAGACCGGGGCGTGCGGCCGTCCACTCGCTGTCCACGCACCAGGGGCGTGGACAGCGGCCGTACACGGGCAAGGGCGCCACAGAGATGTGACTGTTCACATAGAGGATGAACAGCGGCTGTCCGTAAATGCAATTCGGGTGGGTGGTTGGCAATCAGAGATGTGGTTTCAATTGCGTCGATATAGATCGTGTGCAACATGACATAACATGCAGCAATGCAGCAGTACAACACAATATGGTTTTATGCTAATATGCTTCATACTCATATATATATATATATATATATGATACCATAAATACCATAAGATATTTTATTATGACATTCGTCTATGCTGAATAAATTCACTTGTGTTGATGTTGTGTATTCGTAATTCATGACCGTATCTATTTTCAGCTTGAGATTCGCATGCCGCACACCTGTCTCCGGTCAACAAACGGACATGTCTCAAAGCTGAAGCTGCATGACTGCCCGGCCGCGTGAGCATGTGAAACGCACACAGGAACTGCCATTGGTTCTAGTTCGTTGCTCTCACCCATAGCACTGACATCGCCCTGTTATTCCCAACTCACAAATTGAAGCCAAGCCGCGATCATCTCGACATTGTAGCGTCCTGGGATTGCACACGTTTCAATGCTTTCAACATGCAGCCACAGTGCTGAAATGCAAACGTGCTCAGCTCAAGCGCATGTGGTCGAACTCTCAAGGCGGTTTGCACTGCATCCGGCACACTACGCACATCAAGGTCTGCCAATGTTTTTGCATGCAATCCTCTGCACGGTCTTGCAAGGAAACGCTTCACACCATCAGTTCACTGTACTATAAAACGAAAGGCCAAACAACTGTACATACACTCACTATACACAAAGCACCTGCAGTCGCGGTTGCATCCAGATGCAACTTTGTGGAGCTTCTAATGGAGTCTTGATCATACATGGACCATACAATGTGACAGCTCGAAGTTCCAGATACAACACGCAGTGGCAGGTGGATTTCGTCGATTCAAGACCGAAACCAGTGGACCAGCCATGGTCCACAGTCACGGTCATAGTGTTGCACCTGCGCAACCTGAGGTCTTCAACCAACATGTCACAAATTGATTAACATGTATCTGGCTGGTCTGCGACGCTACAGTCTGCTGCATTGCAAACGAATAGCAGCCGCATAGTCATGGAGTGATGCCGTGCCGCAGCCTAGGCTGAACTGAAACGTGATCATTATCAAGATTGGCAAATCTGCATGTGTGCCGCTGTGCAAGCAGGTCGCCACAACCACTTAGCAGCTGTCGTTGCACGCACAAGCGCTGCCTTGGCTCGGTAGACTCTTTCATGCTGAGACAAAGGCTGTAAGCAGCTCAAGCTCAAGAACACTACATGCACAACACACGCAACTGCATGCAACCAAGAGTCCTAGCCTTCTGTCAAGGCCGCCGAGGCCCTCTTCCTGCGAAGTGGCTTTTCCGCCGCTTTAGCCGCAGCCGCTTTGGCCTTGGCTGCCCGCGTCCTGGCCGGCTTTCCTTCCTTGGATTCCTTGGCCTTGGGCTTGGAGGTTGCTGCCTCTTCCACCGGCGACGGGCCGAAGAGATCCTGCTGCAACAACTGTGAGTCTATCTATCAGTCCATGTCCAGGAATCATGTATGGCACCGGAAGGAAATGCACTGAACGTGTCAGCTTCAAGAACGAATGCAATGCCACTGTGAGCCCGCCTCAATCTCAGGGTCCATTGCATACTCCAGAGACTTATCGTCGAACATGTCCGTAGGACTCCGACTGGGAGTAAAAGCTGCAGGCGGTGGCTCCGTCTCGCAGTCCGGCTCCGCCACCACCAAAGCTTTGCGGCGCCTGCGAGGGTCTCTGGCCGGACCGCCTTCACCATCATCAGCAGAAGCAGAAGACGGGGGCGGCGAGGACGGCGAGGCCGGTGATGTGGGAGAAGGCGGCTTGCTGTGCGAACTTGCCTTCGTCCGCTTCTCCTTGGGCTCCTTGGGCTTCTTGTCGCCACTCTTGTCGACTGCCTTCTTGTGGTCCTTGGAGTCCTTCTTGGTCTTGGCCGGCTTCTTGGGCGCCTTCCGGTCAAGCTTCTCGGCGTCGCTCCTCACACGCTTGCGCGCTGGCTTGTCCATCCGCTCCGCAGCCTCAGTCCGCCGATTGCGCCCACTGCTTCTGCCACGTCGCTCTGTCCGCTCAGGCTTCGCCGGCTTCTCCTGCGACGCCTCCGCCTGCTCCACAGACTCGGCTTCATGCTTAGGCGTCTCCGGCGCCTCGTTGTCATCATCACTGTCGCGAGCATCTGACGTAGTACGGCCCGACTCCTTCTCCTCCTTCGAGTCCGTCGACTCCGGCGTTTTCGAAGCAACCTTCGTCGCCGTCTTCGGTCGCGGCCGCGCACTCGACTCCGACTCATCCTAGGCTGGCTGTAGGCACTCCAGCAATCGCTACCAAACACTGACTGACGTGTCATTGTGACGACAGTGTAAAACGGCAACAACTGACAGCAAACCCCAGGCCAAGCTTCTGTCAAAACTCGTGCAGCAGGTGGTCTAGGTTTCGACCTGACTGTCGCCCCAGGTTGCGCAGCCTAAGTGCAGTATAGGCATATATGGTCAATGGTATATACTCCAGGCAGACATGCCAACTCACTGTCATGTCATGACTCATAACTCATGACCGTGCACAACGACAATTGACAACTGACAACGCACTCCCTCAAGTCCTGAAGCCAAGTTTCCTTCTCTGAAGCCGGCGAGGGAGTATCCGATGGCGCCGATGGCCCTTCTCGCGCAGCTTTTGTTGCGTCAGCCAATCTCTGTGCAGCCTAAGTGCAGCGGAACATGTGATCGACCATTCGACCATGCACTGCACTCACCGATAAATTCGATTATGCTTGATAGGCACATATGTCTGATATCTGATATCTGAACGAGCCGTCTGCACACAAGCAGCAGCATCAGCATGCAGCATGCAGTGCGCAAATTATGCAGTCGAACAGTGCAACAGTGCAACACTGAAACCTGAAGTGCACGCAGCATGACTCAGCATGATTCAGCATGATAGGCAAGAGGCTACCCGGGCTGGAGGCGGTACAACTTTCGGAGGTGGCCTGCCAACCGGAGGAAGCGGAGTCGGCACATCCATGGCGGTAGGTTTTCGAGGCCGAGCAGTGTCGCGAGCAAGCTCACCAAGAACATCATCTCCCGGAGGCCCCGGAGGTGGAGGAGGTGGTGGCACCGGCGGCTTCGGGTCTGCAGTCGCCTTCTGCTGAGCCCGTGCGTACAGTGGGTTGAACTGCTCCGCAGGTGTCAGGTTTTGCGGGGGTGGGTGCTGATCTGACTCTGGTTGAGGTGGTGACTGCTTAGGCCAGCCAGGTGGCGGATACTTAGGCGGCTGAGGTCGCCGGACAGGTTCATCATCTCCATCCGTGTCCCTCCTTTGCATCACTGGACCGTAAGGTGCACCAGGAGGAGGAGGTGGATGTATGTAGCCGTTGGGATCCACCCACACCGTCACTGGTCTCAAAGGCCCCCCCGGACACGGCGGCGGCGGCCCGAAAAACATCGGCTGGATTGTCTGCGGCAATGGTGGCATCGGCAGCCCCGGTATGCCGCCGATGAAGTTTGGGTCCATTGCTGGGCGCATCTGCGGCATCGCTGGAGGTGGTGGGTGGGACGAGCTTTCGCAGCAGCACGAGATGTCGGCCGTACTTGAGGTTGGCTCGAAGGCGGAGTCGGTGGTGGTGGTGGCGGTGGCGGCGGGGGCGGAGGCAAACACGACCCGCTCTTTGGTTGAGGCTCAGCCGGCGGAGTGCTGGCATGCCACGACTGGTCAGGCCCGCCAGCCGAAACCCCGGCACCGGCACTTGCCTCCGAAGCCGCAACCCCATCCTCATCCTCATTCGCATCCAGTGCCGCATCTGCAGGCGGTAGACCGGAGGCCTTGCACTGCAGCATTTGAAGCCGCTGGTAACCAGCGCCCTCTGGAGGCGGCGTCGCCGGTTCCACAACCATGAGCAACGCACTCCGATGCACCGGCAAACTAAGGACTGACTGAGCTTGCTGTCTGCTCCTAGCTGTGAAGCCAAGGTGTGTGCAGTGCAGCGACAGACTCACCCCGATGTCACGATGGCAGTGATGTCATGAATCAACCGCACATATTCACTGGTCCACGTGACATGTGCAAATCCAAAATCTCATGCTTCGCTGCTGCAGCTGCAGAATTGACACTCGCATCCAGCAAGACATCGACTGCGTGGCTCGACTCATGCAAAGCGCACAGACACAGAACGCTGCAGAACGCTAATGCCTGCCCGCAGCTGTGAATTGCGCACCCTGCAGCCGAGAGTCTCTCACTGATCTGGCTCCATCACAATCCTCAGGCTCCTCAGGAAACACATATGCATTGCAACGCACATGCCTGCCGATCGCTATACTTTCCCGGAAACGTGTTTTGCAGCTCTACGATCCCAATCAACCAAGTCAACTAACCCATGCAAAACCATGATAGCCTGAACACGCTACACTCCAGACTCAGGACAGTCAGGACAAAGGATACGAGGACTGGACGCAAGTTCACACTGCTGTAGTAATGCAATCTGGAAACCATCGCCGATCATGGCCATTGGCGTCTCGATCCTTAAGGCTTGCTAGTTAGAGCTGCTTCTGCAAAGGAACATGTGAACCTGTGTCTTCTGGCACCACATGCATATGAGCGGACCGTGTTGGCGTGCAATGTCAAAAAACAGCCACATCTTCCCTTGCGCACTCCGACAATAGTGATAATAGTGATGCGCAACACAACACAGCAGATAGTCGGCAGATAGTCGTCACCCTGAGCTGCTTGCTGCCGAGACAGCAACTGGCGGCAGGCACCGCAAATCCTCTTCACGGTGATGCAGAACGCAACTTCCGTGATGCCGCGCTCACATGTTCTCGCGGAAATTCAATAAACATATCTCATACCTATCATATCTCGAATGTCGCGAGTCGCAGTCACAAATCCACTCTGGTCACTACTAGACTACCCACATCATGCTAGGCAGGAGACGACGCATGAACTTGGCTGTCACTGTCACACCAAGGCACGCTGACTCAAATTGATGCACTCTCCCCTTTCAACTCCACTCTCTCTCACACACACACAGACGCAGACGAATGACCCGTAATCTCTCATGCGCAAAGCAGTCCTGGGCGAGGGCGAAAACAATCGCTGCTGTTGGGAGTGGAAGTTGCAGCCCAATGTTCCGGACATCCATGAAGGTAGCCTACACAAGCCTTCTTGAAGGCCCTGGACTAGGTCTTGCGGTGCATCGATTGCATCCTCAGCAGCCGCAAGCCGACGCCCGCAAGCACCGTGCCAATGAAGTAAACAAACGGGACACAGGCCACTGTCCTGGGCACTATCCCGTTCTTGTCCAGCTGCAGGTTTCTTGCAAAAACAACAGGCTGTTTCCGATTTCCGCTTCCACTGCTGGCTGTGCACGTCCTCCTGACACTTGCTGAAATCAAAAGCATGACTCGACTCATTGCGAGAATCAAGAGATCCCAGACCCCAGACCAACCGATATGTTTAACATGACATGATTGATGTCAGCCGGCATGTATCACACAGCATCACAACCAGGCACTATCAGAAGATATCATATCATAGTAACAGCATAGATTCATAGAACCAATGTAATGTTATAGCAATATCCTATAAAATGCTTATCAAGAATAACTAAGTTAGCTGTGAATGTAACACTGTAACAACTTATCGCAGTCATATCACACAGTCACTGCACAGACTGTACTTAACTACACATCGTATCGGCGCAGTATCTGTAAAGTCAGTATCCATGAATAATATAATGCAATATACACAGAGCTCCTGGTTCGCATATGTCATCAACACTTGCGCAAAGGCACGGAAACGAACCACGTCACTTGGCAGCTCATCGCGCAGGCATCCCTGCTGTCGTTTGTATTTGCGGCTTGTTGCTCCAACTGCATGCACCAGGTAATCGTACTCATCATGCATGAAAACATGCGTTGGCACAGATTTACCAAACATGGAAGCCGGACAGTAGACCACCCTGTTGTCCGAGTCTATGCGCACCAACCTGCCGACTCTCTCTGTCACGTCAACCCACTTGACGAAGAGCAGCTCCCCTGGATGTTCCGGTTTGCCACCCCCTGCAGGCGCACTACGGGGCTTGCGGGCTAGAAGCGATAGCTCATCGTTGAAGCCAATGTCTTGCAGACAACGAGTCCTTGCATCTTTGATAGCCGCCCATGTCCGCGCCACGGCAGCTAACCACTCACGCCTGGCACGCACTGCTTGGCCTTCCAGTGATGAACTGGATGCACCCACACCAACAGCATTCGTAATCGACTTGACAGCGGACATTTCAGGCGCGACGTCTATCGGTTCCTCGTTTGAGGCAGACTCCTTGTCGTCTTGGGCATCGGCATCAACACCTGCCTCTTGGCCCAAGCAATCTGCAACACTGTCCCAATCAGTTTGGCTGCGCTCGAATTTGGTTTCTCTCGCAGGTCGTGCTGAAGCTCTAGCTTTTCCAGGAGCCACTACGTTGTCTCTGTTTGGCTGAAGCTTGGGCGGTGGCATTGACTGTGACTGTGAAGCCACTTCTTGCCGAGTCCTGACCAAGAGCAACAGTGCCTCTTCTTCCAACTCAGCACCTGTCAATGCAACGTTGACGGCACTGCCGCCACGATCACTGTTATTTGCTTTAACGAGCTCCTTAGCGTGTTCCAAAGCACGAAGCATGTTGCTTTGTGCACTTGCTTGCCCAACTTGCCCATTCTTGCCCGTCATGCCGGCAATAGCCGATGCATTCCTTTTGTTGATATCCGAGTCGTCCAACTCATCCATCAGCTTGTTTGCCTGCTCCGTAGAATTGTCTTCTTCTTCTCCAAAGCCATACCCGGCTTCAACGTCTGCAAGTTCTGTAATCTCTGCGTCAATCGTAGCATCATCCATACCATCCACATCCATACAGGTTTCCTGTTGGATTGATTCCGGAACGCTGGCAGTGCCAAGAAGTTTTCTTTGGCTTGCAGGCTTCCCAGGTTCGGACTGGCCGCCAACTTCCACAAGCGCACCCGCAGCATGAGACACTCCGCAAAGAACAGCTCCAAACGAATATTTAGAAGAAGACGCAGATTCTGTGCCCACGTCGCCCACGCTCGGGAGCGCATCTACCTGCAAGGCAGCCAAGCCACCAGTCGGTGCACGAAACAAATGCAAGCCTTTCAACGCAACCCTGGTGTCGTTGTCCTTGAGCATGTCCTGCAGAATCTCTTTCATCGTCGTGAACTGAAACCTGCCGCCCTGCAGCCGGAGCTCGCCTGAATCAGTCCTCTCAAGTTTCGCAACGACCATGAGGGATCTCAGAGATGTCGCGCAAAGCACGTGGCAGTCACGAACTTCTGCTGCATCTTGTGTGGCCGTGGCTTTTGCTTGAAGCTGAAGGGCACCTTGAGACGCGGTGCTCCACAAACGACCTTTGGAATCAACAAGATCTTGTCGAAACTGTGACTGCGCTTTATGCGCTGCCAACGCAGATCCCGCCAACATACGTGAGGCTGCTGTGATTTTCAAATCAGGCAAAGCGAGTGACAGGTTTGTGTTAGCCAGATCGTCGTGAAGCTGAGCCCAATCAACAACCGAAGTCGGCGTGAACCGGTTGGGCGTGTCCAAGACAGGCTTGTAATTCTCTCCTGACCCAAGCAAGTCTTGAAGCACCGGACCAGCACGACGCTTCACAGCAGACCACCTCTTGCATGCGGAGTCGTCATCTACACCTTCACCGGTTGCCCTGGCAAAAGCACAAGATTTCTTAACGATGAGCCGGCTGGACAGTGTGGGTAAGTCTATTCGCGGGCAGCGGGATGAGATCAATCTGATGATGCTGTTGATGCTTTCGACCAGCTGTGTGTCTCCCAGAAATACAGCGCTCATGGCACGCAATATGGCATACAGCTTGCTGCCCGCGCTTGTGGCTCGGAAATTGAACCGCCCTTCCTTTGCGATGAATTCCAATTCAGAGTAACACAGGCACTTCAATTTCTTGGCATTGAGTTCCATCAAGTTGTCGTCTGCGCTCAGCAACTCCTTCGCAATGCCTGCGGTGTGCAGAAGCAACGCGGCACATGATCGACCTACGGAAATACGACTCTATTCATGACAACATGGTATTGGTATATTGTAAGCGATATGTAAGTTATGTTGAAGCACTAGTGTGAAAAGTCCGTTACAATCACAAGATGTAATGTACATACATGGGCACATGCACTGGCACTCGCGTGTGCTGCAGAATCAATGGTTACACTGAATCAAAATCAATATGACTCACATCATAATTATTTCCCGAATCCTTGGCGTCTGCTGCACCGCATTGTCGCTGGCTGCCACAACATCCAGAAGAGCTTGAGCGGATACCTTCCAAACCAAACTTATCGTACACTTTAGTTGCATAGTTACATGGCTTACTCTGCAACAGACGTGACTGCAGTGACTGCAGTTCAAACCAGTTCATCTGCAAACTGCAAACCTTTAACTGTCAGCTCTGGTACTTGCGTGTGACTGAGACGACACGCAAATGGAAACCGCCTGCTGCTGACGTCAACTGCTTGAATGTGAAAGACTTGATCATGCCAACCAGGTCTTGAGGCAAATCCCCTGCTTTCATTTCCGTCATGGCATCATCGAACCAAGTGTCAAATGTCTGTGCCAGCTTGTCGAACATCTTCATGACGTGATCGGCTTGGTGTGTCACAAGTTTCAGGAGCAACTCATCGTTACTGTGTTTCTGGCACCAGCAAAGGAAATACGACAATGGGCCCCGTACTTCGTGCTGAAGTCGAAGCAGCACCCAGAAAAAACTGCAGCGAACAGCAGCGAAAGCCCCACTGGCCCACTTTGTCAGCTTCAGCTTAAATGCATCCCGCGAGTCGTCGTCCATCAATGCCGCAGTCGCATCTTCTTTGCGCTTTGCCGTCGGCACACTCTTTGCCTGTGCTCCTGCCCTTAAACGCTTCTGTGCACTCTGTTCTGCATCCTCGGGTTTGGCTGCCTTCATGCGTTTGCTCAACATGGCCAACAACACATCTTGCAGATAGTTGCGCCCACGTGCAAGAAAGAAAGATTCAGCCACATCAATGGCCCCCCATCTGCCCGTCACGACTCTGACCGGATATCGGCGATAGTTAACTCCCTCTGCAGGCGCTTTGGGTCCGTGTATCTTCTCCCAAAGCTCCACGAAGTCATTCACATTTTCCCGCCAGAAGTTAATGCACTTGCACAGGGATGCAATATACTTGTTGAATCCTTTGAACACATTGGGAAATGCACGGGCTGCCTCAGAAATAAACTCGTCAACTTCTACCAAGGACTGGTGCACGATGAGATGCATCTGGTGTAACAGACAGTTTGTGTCTACATAAAACACCGTTGGCAGATCCGCTTTTGCCAAGGCCGCCAACGTGCGGCGTCTACGGGCACTTTGATCTGTACCAGCATCTGTGGAATCGGCAAACACGAATATGGCCTGATTCCCCAGCTGCCCATTCCTGAGAATGGCAATGTATAGTAAGATCCAAGTCAAATGGTCAACTGCCAGTAGTCATTGTATTTATCATTTATCTAAGGCGTATGACTGTATGACACATGACATGAAACCCGTGAAACTGAGACGCTGCTTCATTCCTGCAAGATCATGCAAATATGGGATTCCCAGAGCTTTCAACTGCTTCACCACCAATGCCAAGGAATGAGCCGCCGTGTTGCCGGAGACAACTTGCAAATCGGACCTTGTTGGTTTTTCTTAGCCAATACATAAACACGCAATGTCGACTGCAGTGTCACTGGCAAAACTTAATGGACCGGACATAAACAAGTCATAAGATATATGTGTTAATGGTGGGACGGCTAGGGATGCAAGTCAATCAGGCAATCAGGTCGATGCACACAATGCACACGGCACACAACACACACACACACTATCTACTATGATAATTCTGACTAAAGTGATTCAGGTAATATCAACGAAGCGGATGTGCAAAAGTTGCCAAGCAGAATTAACCGAAAGCCCGGAAACACACAACGTCGATAGCTGACCGCTGAATTGAAGTCGCCAGTCTTCAGTGCATCTGGATCTGAAACGAACAGAACTGAAGCCTCCAGCACGTGCAACTTGCTACGTCTCCACACGGAGGAGTTTGTAGCATCTGCTCTGTAAGCAACTGCCATCAAACTCCATCCCTCCGAATCTCCCTGAGAGCACTGCAATGCCATGCCCAAACCTTCGGCAACGTGGGACTGCATTAGGTGCACGATGCCTGCTGCGGCTCGTTGCTCACAGCGAATCACGGTTTGGCCACTCACGTCAAACATTGCAATGATCCCGAAGTCAGCAGCAGCTATGGAGGTCATACACCGACGAACTCCAATTGAAAATATTGCCTGTGTTGAGAGACGTCCACCTCTTCCATCTTTTTGTTTTCCTTTCTTACTCAAAGCAAATACATCTTCATCTTTTTTCATCTTGTCCAATTGTTTTTGTGATTTCAATGCTTCACGCGCGGCCACCTTTGCCTGAGACTTGTGCACAACCACCTGATTTCGCAAGCCTGTGAGTTTCTCGTTTTGAGATACCAACGTATCAGCTTGTCGCAAACACAACTGCACAAGATCTCCACGTGACAACTTGCTAAGCTCTTCCAATGTTGGCTTAGTTTGCAGCGGTTCGTTGCAACTGCTTCCTGAAACTGAAACCAGCGTACTTCCAACAGGTACGGCATCATCATGCGACCCATGAGGAGCAGCGACTTCTTCTTGCCTGCCATCAGAATCAGACGGCACATCGACACAATCAGGAATCTCTGCCGCAATTGCCGGAACCAAGCAATCGTAATCACCACCGCGATTTGTATCTTCCGCCTGATCTTCAATTTCCACTGTCACCGATGGAAATGTCACACCGAAATGCGCACATGCAGATCTCAGCTGAAAGTAGTTGACTGCTTCTGAATGAATGCCACTTTGTCGAGGAACCTGCGATGCATGCTTAACTGCGACCGTGCTATCTATTTCAAATCTGTTGTCATTGACTGCACACTGCACGAGTCACTGCACAGCACGAGACAAACTAATTTCAAGCCATGCAAGTATGCAATCAGAATCATGAACTTGAAGAGGTATATGGCATATGGCCCATATGGCAGTATTTTTTGATATATCTTCATGATGTTATTGAATTATTGAAGGTAATCACTCTACTCTACACTTTAGTCCCCTGACCGGCCTGTGAGAAGATATGACGTAGTCTCTCGGATATCTGCTTTTGAGACATACCCTGAGAGGTGAAAAATGTAGATAGAGCCTGAGAAGCAGTCTGGTGACCAATCAGTGTTTGGCCATCGGACGAGTCGAAAACACTGGATCGTACCAGTGTTGCGAAGGCTCGCTGTTGCAGAAGGGACATGGCATATAATGAATTGGAGCTTCGCTAAACTACGACTCCCTTCAGCTAAAGTAGCGGCATCATATGATGATATGGTGAGATAGCACAACCGGGCTAATGCCTTCCAACCATGCGCATGTTGATCGCAAGCTTCGACAACTGATGTATCTCACATGCAAACGTCTTGCAGGCATGGACTTGAACACATCGTTGCAAGCACTCGTCACACATGATCACAAACGGCCTTGAAGCTTAACATATACATTTCCGGGCCCAGAAAATCTCTCTGATGACCAAGCGAGACGGGTGAATTTGATCCTAGTGTCAGCTCCCGACCCTATGATCCCATAACTTTCCAGCTCCAAAAAAACATAAGCATGACTTTTGCGACCCCGGCCGATGTTAACTACCATCTTCCATTTTCCCGGGCCGATCTTGATCTCCGGTCACCGGAGGGGATGCGTGAACAAGTTGCCCAGGGATACCGTTCACACCACCCTTCCCGCCACACCCTTGGGAGTGGAACTATCAACTTGGTGACTATCTTCTTTCCTATCACAGCCTTCTTCCGGTCTTTCTTGGCAACTCGAGCTTTGTCTCGCTTTTCTTTCTTGTATGCTGCCTTCTTCTCCGCTTCGCTCATCTTCTTCCATGCTTCCGGAGAATAAGAATGAATAGGTCGCCGTGTAGGAAGAGTTCGTCGACCGTCACTTCGGATCTTGTACGGAACTCCTCTTTTGTCGATCTTGCAAGCTTCACCGTCATCGGTGAGATATACAATGCCGTCCCCTTTCTTCCCCGTACTCCAATGTTCAATCTCCTCGGGAGCCAACTTCTTTTCTTTCAAGATCTTGATAATCTCTCCAGGTTCTTCGATGTCTCCTTCGGGGATGAGTCTACCGGTTGGACCGACTTCGCGGGGCGATCGTCGATCTTTCCCAGTGACCTTTGGTTCAGAAGGAGGCGGTGCTGCACGTAGACCCAGCTCTTCGTCTAGTTCTTCGAGTCTTTTGTCTCCTATGGCATCAATGGCTTCATGTTCTGCTGACTTGAAGCCTTCGCCGGACGGCTCCGTCTCTATGTCAGATGGATCTATGTCCTGTAAGTCAGGATCTTCTCCGGGATCCGGTGGAGGAAGAAGACCATTTTGATCATCATCATCCCCGTCGCCACCATTTCCTCCAGGCGGACCGTCATCACCGTCATCGACGTCTTTTATCTCCTTGCCAGCGAGGTCAACGTTGTCCCTGAGTCCCTCAATGGTTGAATTCATCCTTTCGTACTCGGCTTTCAGGGGAAACGTTATCTCCTCTGGGAAGTAGATAACTTCTGTCTCGTACGGTCTCATCAACTTCCTGGGAACAGATGCGTCCATCGACAAGTTCGCATTGGCAAATTCCTTCATGTCCCAAACGCGATACTTCTTGGACCATCCTTGACCAGCAGTGATGATGTATCCGGCGAAAATGCCTGGGATCCCCTTTGGATCGAACTTGTTGCCATATGTCTTCGGCCTTGTGTCCGTCGGCTTGAAGAAGACTTTGGCCCCAAAGGGTATGGCTTTTCCCTCGAAGTCCTTTCCAGTCATTCGCTTCCATGCTGAATCACCATCGCCCTCCACGTCTTCAACGTTGAGGTTCTGCATCACGCAATTAAGCGCAAAGGACCAGTATTGAGCGGGCAATCCGGCGTGTAGCATGGATGCTGCGACTGTGTTGATCACTTCTTGATTTGATCGTTCAGCGAGTGAATTGTTACTGGGTTTCCCTGGAAGGGAATGATCTATCACGATCTTCAACTGCGCCATAGCTGAATCGAACTCTGGTGCTTCATCACTGTACGCCATATGAATCTTGCGTCTTCCCATTAGGCGTCTGATAGCCATGACGACCTCGTCAGTGCTCCTTGAAGCCGTGGGAATCGCTGCGATCATTTTGGTGGCGATATCTCTGATGACTAGAACTTCACGTGCTCCGTCATCGAGTCCGATGCCTGCTTCGGCGGCCTTGCGCATGTCGAGGAAGTCGAACGTCACAAGATCTCCCCAGTGTTTGATCACACGTTGAAACGCACCTCGTTGTGTTCGCAAGTGCTTCATCTTCGCGCGTATGCACGATTCGCAATATGGATTGCGGTAACGATGAGTACACAGATGTGCCAACGTCTTGGCTTCGGCTTTCAGTGTTCCGACTCTGGCCTTGCGGCTCGGCGCACCGTCGCCTTCCACATCAATGATCACCTCATCATCACCATCCAATGGAATTTCACCCACTCCTTTTCCTTCGTCGTCGTCCGGAGGTCGTCCGGCCTCGGACTCTGGCACTTCTTCTATAGGAGGTTCTTGGGGTTCAGGATCAGGAGGTCGTTCATGATCGTCACCTTCTTCTTCTGCTTCAATCTCGCTCGGTGCAGCTTCAGCGGCAGCTGCGACGCTGACGTCAACATTGCCCGCTGTTAGCGCACCCTTGAAGATTTCGGTGATCGCTTTGGCCTCCGGATCATCATGAACCAATGACTTAGAACTCCCGGCACGAACGTACGGGATGTCACCGTTCACGAACAGAGATATTCTCTTGCCCTGCGGGTTGATCATGAATGGTTCCCTTCCGGGTGGCCACACAAACCCGTAGTTGAAATTCATACATCTCTTGCCTATGGAAAGCACTGATGGCGTGTCGTCCAACACGTAAGCGTTGATCGGTTCCTCGAACGACTCAGTCTGGAAGTTCGACACGAGATCTGTATCGGTGATTCCATTGGCTGTCTGAAATGATATGGGCTCTGGAGTCACGAGTGTTTCGAGACTGTGCTTCTCGATCTTCTTCTGAGATATGAGGTCGTGGCCACACCCAGTGTCCATGAGGAACTTGATTTTCTTCTTGAGGATGACTGGTTGAACCATGCATTTGAACACACCTTGATTGATGATCCGTTTGCTGTGCGCGGCATCG